GACATTTAAGAAATGGGAATGCCAGTCTGATTTTTCGTATGAATCGTCCGAAGGGCGAATCACTAAACTCACCTGTGACGTATGCAGAGAACACCGAACAGAACGAGATACGATGAGAGGCACGATTACGAGGCAAGTTGGTCATTAGATCTATAGGCTAATCGCTATGAAAAATATTATGAAACAGTCTTGCTTATTCTATAATTTACTGGTTGTAGCATGGTAAGTTTAGGAATAAAACATTCATCACAAGGTGTAGTAATGCTAATGTTAACTGTTGGTAGAACTAATGATGACGTGTGGTAGATTCTCTCATCAAATTGATAGTAGATTACACATGCATCGTCTCGGGAAGAGGATGTCAAGCCACATCAATACTTACCTGTATTAATGATTACCAGTAAATTAATCTTTGTAGTGTGAGATTGGAAAAAATACTCAGATTTTGTGGTATGCTGTATTCATGATGCCATATGAGTACAACATATTTTGATCCCTTTATTTTGTTGAATAAACCTGGAGTACACAGCTGCTGATGTAATGTTCATTGTTAATGCATAGTTTTCAAACATTTACCCTTGAAACATGATACTTTTGAGTTTCAGAATTCTTGATTATGAATATCAGTCAAAATAGAAAAATGGGTTCCCATGATGAACGTTTACGGAACCCAATATTAGTTACCGTGGTTTCCCATTGGGTAATCCGACGGAACCGAAAAACGGTTTCCGTGAATTTCCCAAATCCTCGGGCCTGCTACTGAATTATTTACATTTTTGCAGCATTTGTTTATAATTGTATGTATATGTTGTTGTTTGTGTTATTATCATACGCAATTCAATAAGTAGACCATTTCAGAATTCGAAATTTGGGACTCTCTAAATGCATAATGGGACTCATACTTTTCTGATCAGCGAGTCCCTGGGATTCGCTGGGAGTAAACTGTAAAATTATCACTGTCTTTATCCTTAAAATTGTTTTCTCTTTTTGTTGAGTATAATATCACCTTGGGTTTTGAGCCTCTTGCAATTTCATTTTGCTGCATTGCATCTTTGCACATGTTCAAATCACAAATAAGAATCTCTTTATATTTATTTTTTCTTAATTTGATACAATTTTGTTTTCTTTGGACTTCCTGGGCTCACCTGGGACATCGGGTACTGTATTTTATGCCACATAATGTGGAAATTTACTTGAATCTATTAATCTTTTAATTAATGTATGTTTCCTTTGTAATCAGCAGTGTTATGAATATATTGAGTGTTTTAAATTTTTTCTTGTCTTACCCAAAGTGCTTCAAATTAGTCATTATATAGTATTTTTAAAAATATGATCACATCAATTGCTGCAGAGATTCACTGTTATTCCATGGATGAAAAAAGTAAGCTTCTCCACCTTTTCACATCAGGATTTTCTCAATTACTGTTCAATAAAGTGCGCAAAACAGAAAAGAAAAAAAATCTGCAGGGAATAGAGCTGCTAACATCTAGGAGCCCAAGGAATTATGTGATTTTTGGTCACATACATATAATACGGACACAAAATTCTAATTTGTGGCCATGAAATACAAGTAAAGTGCATACAAAATAATAATTTAGGCGTGTCCATGAATCTTGCAAGTCTGTCATTCGCCAGCACCCAGACCACCCATTATGGTAATGTCAGTCCAGTAATTTTGTGTTCCCTGTCTGCAGATTCATCGCAGGCTACGTTGAAATTGTTCAACTGCGTAATTGTTCAATTCTTCAGTAAACACGTGAAACAAAACAGCAGTTGCAGCGAGTCAATTTATTGGGGGAGCGATATTTGGACGGCGCATGTCACGCAACAAAATGTAACCATCGACCCGGGCGAAGTAGTGTGGACTGGCAGCTGTCACGTTACGATTGTTTATTGTCAACGGGAGTGGGGGTGACAACCGTCCATCCATCCGTCCAACCATTTTCTGATCCACTTATCCTCACAAGGGTCGCGGGGCGTGCTGGAGCATTATCCCAGCTGCTGTCTTCGGGCAGTTGCCGGGAGACACCCTGAACTAGTTGCCCCGCACTTACACCTCGAGACAATTTAGAGTGTTCATTCAGCCTGCCAAGCATGTTTTTGGAATGTGGGATGAAACCGGAGTACACGGAGGAAACCCACGCAGGCATGGGGAGAACATGCAAACGCCACACAGGGAGGCCAGAGCCGCAATTGAACCCTGCACCTTTGCACTGTGAGGCCAACGTGCTAACCAGTCGATCACTGGGCTGTCCATATTCTATAATACCTTCTGTAATGTCTTTATCCATGAATTGGGTCTTATTCTGTTTTCTATTATTTGTTCATTATTAGTTTTGTTCCATCTACACGCATTAGGAGACACTGTGACTAAAAAATATAATCCTTATTGGTGTTGTCAAATGTTGCGCACTGCTGCAAATAAATGGCAGTCAACAGCAGTGGTAAGGAAACATATTTGCGTTGTCAAATCTTTCCTTATAACAGAATTTCCACGTGTGGGAAACGAAGGTGCATGTCCTTTATGAACGTGCAAGTATGTTTAAAAAAAATACATGTGTAACAACACAAGCAATAAAATGCAAAAATATATGGCCCAGTCCCTGTTTAGAACACAAAAACTGCAGCATAAAGTGCAGGTATATGAACAAAATACAGTATAACAAGACGTGTCACAAAATTAGGGCTATTTGCTACAAAATAAGACGAGTTAACAGACCTGGTGGCTTTTTTTTCCACCCACTCACTGTCTGTAACTTTACCTCTCCCCGATCACAAAACAAGACAGCGTTGCTCAGCTGATGTCGTGCAACCAACTTTTGAACGCAGCCACCGGTCGCCTTAAAGTCCTCAATGCCCATAGTTAGCGCTATGGAACTTGCCTTCTCTCTAATTAGCGGTCCAGTTAGCGGCAGGTGTTTAGCACAATAATGAGAAAAGCATTCCAGGAAACGTTCGTTCACTTGACTGTCCGTCGAGCCACAAGCAATTTAATCTGAGCAGCTAATCGGAGGCATTCCACTCTCTCTTTCACGGTCGTTACCGTTTGGATCGTTTGGATGCCACGATCTACAGGATGTAAATGTAAATGCATGAAACAGAAAGTCATTCGCAATTCCAGTAAAACTCATGCCAATAGAGTCACTTGCATGTCCCCGTTTTGGATCCAATGAGAGTAAATGGCGTCGCGGGCACAGTCATTCTGTCATATCGAGTGGGACTAGCTTGAGTTTGTGCTACTGCGGGCTTCCATATGGGTTCCGGGTACCGGAACCCGGAAGTTATGAATCAATCATTAATGTAATACCGTAGTCGAAATTTTAATGCTTAGGTTTTTATTCCGAGTGAGGGAATTTCCGGTTGACAGATGTGCATAGGTGGGAATAGTTTCTGTACTTAGGAGTGAACGGTAAGTGTCACAATGAGAGTTCTGTAGGCTGCTTGTCAACATGATCAATTGCTCCGCAGTAATGAAGCGTAACAACGCAAAACTACTGAACGGCAAACCAACTTATTTTGTGCAGTTTTTCACCCCCAAAAAATAAACTTACTCAAAATTGTAATATTATGGAATTAAGACTGTCTTTGTCATGTACAGTGAAACTCCTCTACAACGAAATCATGTTTGCAGCAAGACATTTTTCACAACAGGGGGTTTTTCACTGTAGCAAATTTGATCTCAGATGTAAGCACACACACACACACACACACACACACACACACACAAAAAACGTATGTGTACACGCACACACAAACGTATGTGTACTCTATTTTTATTCCAATAGTGCATAAGTATGAGCACACACTTATCTGACACTTCATATTGTCAGTGTAGAAAGAAAAAAAAGGGAAAGAAATTGCGAAATTTACGATCAGCATTCACTTTCACTGATATCAATTTCTTGGATTCTTCTTCTTCTTCTCCTTTCGGCACGTCCCTATTCAGGGGTCGCCACAGCGAGTCAGTAATTTCCATCCGCCCCTGTAAACCGTCCTACCAACTCG